TATATATATATATATATATATATATATATATATATATAATATATATATATATATATATAAAAGTTATCGCAAAAGTTGATGCAGTAATACAGATGAACTGTTGTCGAAGCATACGTTCGCTGGCGAAATAATTCGATGTGTCAACATGGACAGTTCAAAAAGTTATTCTTTTTCTCCTTTAAGAAACTGAAAGATAGGAAGATGAGTTCACTGTGGGTACCACAGATGTCGACTGACATCTGAAAGAAGGAATGTGGATAATGATGCATTTCTTTTCCACATAGTCGCAGGCGATGAATCGCGGTGTTGCCAGGTTGATCCCAGCAACGAGAGAGAGAGATAGAGAGAGAGGGGAGGGAGAGGGAGAGAGGGAGGGAGAGAGAGGGGGGGAGAGAAAGGGGGAGAGAGACAGAGAGAGAGAGAATGTGAAAAACATCAGGCGATGATTTTATGATGACGCGGTGTTTTGCCAGGAAGATCCCAGCAACGAGAGAGAGAAGAAGAAGAAGAAGAAAGAAGAAGAAGAGAAGAAGAGAGAGGGAAGAAGGGAGAAGGAAGAAGAGAAGGAAGAGGGAGAGAGAGAAGGGGGGAAGAGAAGAAAAGAAGAAGAGAAAGAGAAGAAGAAGAAGAAGAAGAAGAAGAAGAAGAAGAAGAAGAAGAAGAAGAAGAAGAAGAAGAAAGAGAGAAGAGAGAAGAAGAAGAAAGAAGAAGAGAAGAAAAAGAAGAAGAAGAAGAAGAAAGAAAGAAAGAAAAGAAGAAGAAGAAAGATCAGAGAAGAAGCTAAGAAGAATTTTATGAAAAGAAGACGTTGATCAGGAAAAGAAGAAGAAAGAAGCTAAGAAAGAAGAAGAAGAAGAAGAAGAAGAAGAAGAAGAAGAAAAGAAGAAGAGAAGAAGAAGAAGAAGAAGAAGAAGAAAGAAGAAGAAGAAGAGAAGAAGAAGAAGAAGAAGAAGAAGAAGAAGAAGAAGAAGAAGAAGAAGAAGAAGAAGAAGAAGAAGAAGAAGAAAGAAGAAGAAGAAGAAGAAGAAGAAGAAGAAGAAGAAGAAGAAGAAGAAGAAGAAGAAAGAAGAAGAAGAAGAAGAAGAAGAAGAAGAAGAAGAAGAAAGAAGAAGAAAAGAAGAAGAAGAAGAGAAAGAAAGAAGAAGAAGAAGAAGAAGAAGAAGAAGAAGAAGAAAGAAGAAAAGAAGAAAGAAGAAAAGAAGAAAGAAGAAAAGAAGAAAGAAGAAAAGAAGAAAGAAGAAAAGAAGAAAGAAGAAAAGAAGAAAGAAGAAAAGAAGAAAGAAGAAAAGAAGAAAGAAGAAAAGAAGAAGAAGAAGAAGAAGAAGAAGAAGAAGAAGAAAGAAGAAGAAGAAGAAGAAGAAAGAAGAAAGAAAGAAAGAAAGAAAGAAGAAAGAAGAAAGAAAAGAAAGAAAGAAAGAAAGAAGAAAGAAAAGAAAGAAAAAGAAGAAAGAAAAAGAAGAAGAAGAAGAAGAAGAAGAAGAAGAAGAAGAAGAAGAAGAAGAGAAGAAGAAGAAGAAGAAGAAGAAGAAGAAGAAGAAGAAGAAGAAGAAGAAGAAGAAGAAGAAGAAGAAGAAGAAGAAGAAGAAGAAGAAGAAGAAGACAGAGATTTACACGAAGAAGGAGGATGAGAATAGAAATAATGAGACGCTGATGATGATAGCTGTAGTGTGGTGGTGATAGGGGTGATGCTTAAATGTAATAAACAAATAAAAACTGAAGAATGAAGAAACTCTAAAACGCTATTATGTTGTGTTGATACACTTACACTTGCTACGAGTGTCTGTACTTTCGATTTCTTCACATATAATGTGACGTCACACTGCTGCAGCCTAGATTTAGCACACGGTACCGGTAATAAACGGGTCGAAACAAGGCGTGTGCTCCCGCGTGGCACCCGGGCAACATGCCTTTACATTCTTGCAGATGTTTATATAATACAAACACTTATAAATGCGTTTTGTGCAATAAAGTATTACTAATCCCAGTTTTTTGCGTGAAAACATGCGTTTCTTGTCCGGATTATGAGTCTAAGATGATACTATAAATGTTATTGCATTGTTTATAAATAGTATAGTATGAAACGGAATGATTGATTAATGTTTCAGAGATTTATTGTAGTAATGTGTATTACTGTTGATAATTGCTTTTATTGCGAGGGTATGTGCGTTAACACATGAGTGATTTAGCATTAAAAGTAATACTGAGTTGAGTGCAATTCTTTCCACATACTGTAATGTTTTATGTATATTTATATACACAACTGGTTATCTAGGTTTAACAATGAACTAAAGAACCTTAAAGGAATACTATTTATTGATAGTTATACTGCGCACGCAGTTAAGAGTTCGTGCACCGTGCTGATTTTCTACTTGTCTGATCTGCCGTGTTTCCCCAAAAATAAGACTGGGTCTTTTATAAATGTTTCTTCTAAACAACGCCCTATGGCTTATTTTCGATGGATGTATTTTTTATGTATGTCTTCATTTTAGACATTCTTAATTTTAATTTTTTTTAATCATTTATTTAAAGAGTGGATTTCAGTATAATGTTTGTTTATACTTTTTAAAATATGCATTAATTTATAATTAAAAGCGCCCCTCGTGTGTTTTAGCTTAAGGGCTGAATCCGTCCATCTGGTTAATGACATAATAAGTTAGTTATCCTTTACAGGACGTTGCAGAACCAACCCTAACAGCTCCTGGCTGTTGTGTGGTTTCTCTAGGCAATTTACATCCAGTAGTTTGCTATTGCTCTGGACGGTCGGCTTTCTTGATACCACTGTCGAAACCAACGCAAGGCGCATTGCCCGCAGCTGGGATCGAACCTGGCATCCCGGCATTACGAAGCGAAGAATGACATAATAACTAGGGCTTATATTTGGGGTGGCACTTTTATTAAGAGCATATACAAAATCATGCTAGCACGGTAAGGGAGAATCGAGGTGGTTGTTAAGGTGGCTATACTGGCTGAAGCTATAGATAGAATCAGCGATTGGTGCAAAGGGTGATCTGTGTCTGCGGTTACTCTGTGGTATGACTTCATCTCCAGCACTTTGAGCCTACCTGCAACAGTCGGCAAACCAATGATGTATCACATTACACACCACTTGGGTGTCTCTAGTACAGTCTAGAATGACCCGCATAGCTGCGTTATGTATACGCTCTATTTAACCAGTTGTATCTTTCAGACAGTGAGCAATCCTAATCCATAATTAATCACGGAGAGGATCAAGTGATAATATAGTGTAAAAAGAATTATCTGCTAAATTTTATTGCATCCATAGTCTTCAGTGCATTGAGTCCTTTTTGGCATCTTGTCACAAACGTCTAAACATGGTCCAAAGAAAAGTTTTTGGTTATTCGTCCACTTCGAGATTTGAGCCATGTTCCAGAATTTGAGTTTTGCGCGCACATCTATTTTACAGATCTGACTTATTTGTACGCAGACTGTTGGCTCATTGCCTCTAAGGCTGATGCACTCTGACTTCGACAGAACCCATAATTAGTATGCAATTCTTTTCTTTCCCAAATTGGAGCTATGTAATCCTAACAGGAAACAAACAGTATGTGTAAAAACTCTTTAAAAAAAGGATGATACATGTTAGTAATAATAATAATCATCATCAAGTGCCTTACCAGCTCGCGTAGGCGTTCATGCATCTCCCACAGTTCCCGGTCTTTGGTGTTCTGGATCAATTCCACTGATGATATTTCTCCATGCCACTGTCTTAAGCCATCTACCATCTTTCTCTTGGTCTGCCTCTGTCTTTTCTATCAATGACCTTTCCAGTCGTCACGATTTATTCCAGTGTCAATAATAGCTGATTATTTACGGTGTCTGGCTTGAGACTGAAAGCGTTAACTATTATTGATGCTAGCTATTGTATACGTATAATATTTAATGTTGTCCTTGTGAAAAGTAGATCTAGACAGCTTCACAATCACACAATCGAGGCTGGGAAACTGTATTTTGCGGCAAGAAAGCCTGCATCAGCATACGATGATACAATTACCACACAAAAAAACTGTTTATTGTTCATTTACAGATCATTTTCATTGCACATCGGACATGACCATAAATGCTCCGATCTCCTCCTGAAAATGTCTCCAAGTGTTTTTAGGTTAACAACTTCCATTCTGTTTTGGCTGATGTAATGACGGCTCCCGCGTGGTTTTCCTGTCTCGCTGCTCCAAACGATACACCCCGGGTATGCAATCTATTAAGTGAAATATCATTCTTCACAAAATTGAAAGCCTCAGAGCATTCAGCCTTTCGTATGGCATTGATGATGTCTCTCCTGTCCACAGATGGCCCATTCCTGACAGTAGTATTGCCAGCCAGTGTGTCCGCTCTCTCATTGTCTTTCACGCCAGCATGCTCTAGGACAAAAATGAAGGTGATTTGTCGAAACGCTGAGTGCTGTATTACATGGAGCACTGTTTACGTACATTCCCCGCCTTGATCTTTTCTATCATGCTCACTGAATCGCTTATAATGTCTGCATTACAAATAAAATGCAATAAATCGCTGATCTGACTGTCATCAAATTTTTTTCCACGTTTGAACAGTAGAGACCCTGCAAGTCAGAAATGAGATATTTTATACATAGTTTTTAACTCTTTTAGTCCCAAGCAACGCCTGATGAGTGAATGATCTTATTAGTTCCTTGATTTCCTTCCATAGCATAATATGCTCTTTTACTTTTACCATTTGATCAGAACACCCTAGAAAAATCTGGCTTTTTCTGTTGGTCACTATAACTATGCGTGTTGCCAGTTTGAAAATTAACGACTTTATTCTTTGGCATGATGATTATTTCGTCACTTTGGTATCATGTGAAACTCTCTGGTACTAAAAGAGCAAAGTATAACTACTTAATCTAGATCTTTATGGTAAACTTTATTACCGCAACAGTAGCATAACTGTAAGGTTTTGAACCATCAGTGCCTCACTGTCTTAATCTACAAGAAGTTCGCTAGAGTTCATTTAAAGGTAAAAACATGGCAAATGCCATCACAGCAACAGAGGTGTTCAACTTTCTAAAGATGATCGGTGGGCTGCCATCGTTATCTCTGTTTGTGGGATACATGATGACGTTTTTTATATCCGGGCTGTGGCAGCGATGGACAGCGCCATTCGATGTGAAATCGGTAAGTACTGACTTACCGTGCACTTCTTTAGGCGTATTGGGTATATAGGGCTAGACATAAATTGTATAGATCAGCCGGCACTCGGTGGGTAATGTGTTTAACATCACGCCGGCCAACTTTACTTCCCAGGACTGGTACCCATTAAAGGCTGGGTCGACCTGGGAGCCAATATCATTTTTGAGAAAATGTCCTGTTCTATCAGTACATTAACCCGCGACCATCAGATCAGCAGGCGAATGTTATAGCAGTATAGCAAAGTTATTCTGGGGCACCAGAGAAAGGTTACGACTTATCAGTAATCCATGTTTTAAAGTTGCTTGCACATCTCACTGCAGGTGCAGGGAAAATGGGTTCGAACCTGTGTTTGGGGCAGACTCTTTGAACTGATCTGAGTTCATGTTCAATGAGTTCACTCAGCCTTAAATAGGTACCGGATATTCCTTGAGAAATAAAGGCAACCAGTGTGACATTGACCAAGTCACCTTTTCAGTGTACATCAGTTTTTAAAAAAAAATTGACTAGTTTTGAAAACAATGGGACCCCAGAGCCCACAAGGGGACCAGGTATATCAGATCCACTTACAGCTATTCACGACAAAAGTTACATTCGTGCTGCATCTAACGTCTTCCTAATGTATTTTATCACATTGTGAGATTAATTATCATATATCATGAGCAATAACAGTTAAATGTACGTTTGCATTAGTTCTTCTTCTTCTTCTTCTTCTTCTTCTTCTTCTTCTTCTTCTTCTTCTTCTTCTTCTTCTTCTTCTTCTTCTTCTTCTTCTTCTTCTTCTTCTTCTTCTTCTTCTTCTTCTTCTTCTTCTTTTCTTCTTTTCTTCTTCTTCTTCTTTCTTCTTCTTCTTCTTCTTCTTCTTCTTCTTCTTCTTCTTCTTCTTCTTCTTCTTCTTCTTCTTCTTCTTCTTCTTCTTCTTCTTCTTCTTCTTCTGCTTCCTCCACCTCTTCATCTTCATCTTTTTCTTCTTTTCTTTTTTTTTTCTTCTTCTTCTTGCTTTATTTTTCTTCTCCTGCTGCTGCTGCTTCTTTGTTCGATCTTAAAATGACAACTGGCACGATGTGTTGGGGTTTACAGCTAGGTTGCAATATCTCCACCTTTCGACCCAACACATCCGAAATTTGCATCCCCTAATAAGTCGCATTTTACGACAAGGGGGTATGTTATTTCCCCAAAAAGATGTGGCATCGGAACCTATAGTAGTACAATTTTTCTGTCATTCAGTGAAAGTGACATTATACAAGATGTTTTCCATATAATTTTGGCACCATGCCAAAGTCGCATAAAGGCAGTTTTGGCGATTTTCACATAAATTCATTTTCAGGGTTGTCATGTGTCACTGTGCAATTTGCCAAAGTCCCAGATGTGAATTATTTGTCAACATAGGCCTGAATGCAGTATTGCTCAGTCCTTCAGGAAGACTATAGGTGCTTTTGCGCTGAAATGCTATAGACAGATTATCAGAATACGACCGACAAAAAAGAAGAGCAGTACTTAGCGCAGTCGATACGAGGCTCGCTTTCAAATCCAGCTGCTACTCGCTGCAGCTCACGGGCGGTTTCCGGTGTTCACCCAGCCTCTAAGAAATGGGTACCAGAGTTAACACTCTGGTGTAAATGGAGGAACGTCGCTGTAGCTACGGAGTTACGTGCTACCGGCGACACAGATGGACAATTTCTTATCAGCTTCGTGCTGGTGGTAGAGCACTTATGGTTTATAACCGTGTGCAGTGACGCTGGTTCACGTCTCCCAACTTTACCTTTACCTTTCTATAAAGGAAGATTGGCTAATAAACAATCTCTTGTCTCGGAAGCTGAAATATTTTGACCATATTAAGAGCCTTGGGGGACTGGAAAAAATTATAGCAGAAGGCAGGATACCAGGAAGGAGGGGCACAAAGATGGGTCCACGATATAAGTGACTCCTTGGAAATGAAAGTGCACAAGGTGGGAGAACTGGCGGGAGACCAAATTTCTTTCAGTCAGATCGTGATGTGTACAACGTTCTGCTAAGTATTGCTGCATGATGAGGAAGTACGTAATACCTTTCACGCAACTATACACTTTTGTTTTTAGCTATCTCAGTGTTTAAACGCGATCTTCTCGAAACGATATTTAGCTTTTACGCGACTTTACAATGCAGACCTGATAAGACGAATCCACCGGGGACAGAAGGAATGGTTCTTCTTATCGGACATTTTTCTTGTCCAGATAAGAAGAGTTCAAGGAAGAAAATTTTGCCGGGGATAAACAAATTGTTCTCCACAACAGAAATTCTCCACATCCGAGATATCCATAGGCGGTCTGCACTGTATTACCTGTTTGTTATTTCTTGCTTTATTTTCAGGCTGTGATCGTCCACCATTTCGCGTGTTGCCTGGCCAGCGCTGTTGCCTTCTGTGGTTTCTGCTACTGCCTGTTCCAGTATGGTTCAATATATGGCAGAACACCTGATGCTTTGCTAGAACAATTTTTCAAGTTGTATTGGATAATAAAGGTATGAAGTTACTGCCTTTCTTTGAACTTCACTCTCTAGCTCGCTTTTCTATTTTTCCCCTTTTACCTGCATTTAATTAATTCTGCTGGGGGTTCCAGTGAAAAGACATTCTATCTATTTTGCTCCAATGTTTTCTCAGTGTGTGTCCTATCCAACGCTATCATGGTTTCTTCGTCACTTAATTCACTTGAATTTTTTGTATAGTTATTTTCCAAAGGTCAACATCAGTGATTCTATCACATCCTTTAATTCCCTCTATTCAGAGCAGATACCAGTTAATGACTGTTTGTCGTTTATGGGTAATTTTAGTTGTTCTCCGTATTACAAAACTGGACAGAGAACTTAGATCGAGATGTGCCAAAGCTAATCAAGTAATGGGGTAACTAACTCACCTGTTGACACACAAGCAGATACCTCAGAGTACTAAAGTGAATCTTATCAGAACTATTTTTTGGCCAACACTGTGCTATCAATGCCAAACGTGGACACTCACATCCTCCAATAAACGTAAAATTGTGACAACGGAGATGAAATACCTCAGAAGAGCTGCAGGACTTTCAAGGAAAGACAGAATACGAAATCACGAAATCAGACGAATGCTAGAAATAAAGCCAGTCTTACAGGTCATCAAAGAACAACAAATGAAGTGGTTTTGACAACTTACAAGAATGCCCTGGTACTATCTGCCACACTAAAATGTTACAACGGTTATAGAGAAAGAAAAAAATATGGAAAAAATGGAGTGATGGCATTAAGAACAGCCTTTCAGAGATGAACATCAGTCTTAATAGTGCTCTTGACAGAGCTCATCAACGAACATTACATCTCCCCCCGACCCTTCGATGAGGTACAAGGTGGAAGAGAAGAAGAAGAAGTTCTCCGTGTTACTAAGATTACTGGACATTGATTATTTCTTATGGTTCACCGGTTATATCTGCCTTTCACTAAAAACACCTGGCTATGGCTTGTATTTGCTAGATATATACCAGAGAGACTTCTTCATTAAGGTTCTCACCTGACCATCTACGGCAGCAAACAGTAGTGCTACAGTTCTACCTCAAACACACTTAGCAAGCTATTGAGCAACATGCAAGAAGACTTGCCACTGTGTCACAAACCCACTGAGTAATCTATTGAGCCACATGCAAGAAGTCTTGCCACTCTGTCACAAACCCACTGAGTAATCTATTGAGCAATATGCCAGAAGACTTGCCACTCTGTCACGAACACACTGAGTAAACTATTGAGCAGCAAAGAAGAAGAATTGCCACTCTGTCACAAACACACTGAGTAATCTATTGAGCAATATGCCAGAAGACTTGTCACTCTGTCACGAACACACTGAGTAATCTATTGAGCAGCAAAGAAGAAGACTTGCCACTCTGTCACAAACCCACTGAGTAATCTATTGAGCAATATGCCAGAAGACTTGCCACTCTGTCACAAACCCACTGAGTAATCTATTGAGCAATATGCCAGAAGACTTGCCACTCTGTCACAAACCCACTGAGTAATCTATTGAGCAATATGCCAGAAGACTTGCCACTCTGTCACGAACACACTGAGTAAACTATTGAGCCACATGCAAGAAGTCTTGCCACTCTGTCATGAACACACTGAGTAAACTATTGAGCAGTAAGCAAGAAGACTTCCCACTCTGTCACAAACACACTGAGTAAACTAATGAGCATCAAAACGGCTTGTCACTCCTGCACAAAAACATTGGGTAAAGTACTGATCATCAACAGACTTGCCACACTAGCACAAACACTTGAGTAAATTATTGAGCACCAGACGTGCCACTCTATCTATCGCAAAAACATTGAGTAAACTACTGAGCAATAAACAGGCACGAAACTCTATGGCCAACAATCTTAGTAAACTACTGAGCATCAACAGACTTGCCACTCTATCATAAAAACATTGAGTAAACTATTGAGCACTAAACAGATTTGCCACTTTATCACAAACACATTGAGTAAATTACTGAGCACCAAAAAAGACTTGCCACTCTACAAAAGAAACATTGAATAAACTACTTAGCATCAACAGACGTGCCACTCTATAACAAACTGTCTATGAAAACTTGTTTGGGATATGCCTCAATCTCTTCCATGGTGCGATTCTCGCATCACAAAAAAAATTTTTTTTTTAATCGGTCCACCACGGGAAGTGATCTGTGGTATTCAAGGGTCATAAAACTGCAATAATGCGCACACAGATAATTCACCGCACAATTTATTGCTGGCATATTTTACTGAATCTCGTCTGCTGCATTACAACAGAGTTACAACATCTAATGAAGAACATCTTTCCACTAAAGTACACAAATCATCTTGTCTCTTTCTACACATTCTACACATGATTCGTCTTATTGCAGGAAGATCAAGTCTAGGCATAGTAATTTCGTTCGGTGTTGGGATAGCAAATGTTTGCCCAGTTAATATATCAAGTAGACGACGTAATTCAACGTCTGCATGACCGACTTAAACAGCTGTTAGCAAAATGGCCCATGGTAATACCGAGAGACAGCTTGAAACAAGAGTGGCAGAACAATTCCAGAATTGCTAAATGTGCAAATGATCCCACAAGTGTATCAAGACCAACCAAAATTAATGTGTTCAGCTCTTCAATAAGAAGGACGCAATTTGCTTGAGTGCGGACACGTAATCAATATGCATTCCGTATTATTTACCGCACACCTTTTTATTATTTAATTTTTATTAACTCCATGCGATACATTATTGTTTCTTATTTGTTTGTATTATGTTATGTTATTACACAATGTCTTTGCACATTAAGCATTCCCATACGTGCTCAGTCCTCCGATGTAGTAGCCACTCCAATGTATCACTACTGATTGTTTCCATGAGAAGTTGAAGTATCTTCTGTCTTGACTTCGAAGAGGGGAGAAACGTGCTTCACCACGCCTGACTCCCATGTCACGCAATTGTGTTAGTGTCAAAGATTCAAAATTGTTGCTTGTACAGAGTGTATTAATACAATACATATTACCTCCACAGACATTTGAACTGCTGGACACAGTTTTTATGGTGTTGTGTCACCAACAGCCTCAGATTTCATATTTCCATGTGTATCAACATGCCAGTTTGCTGCTGCTTTCCGATATGGCCAGATTATTCTACCCGTGGCAGTCAATTGCAGCATTCCTCACAGTAAACTCTTTGGCCCATTTCTTTCAGTACCTATATCTTGGGCTCTCGCATGTGAATCCAAATGAGTAAGTGTTATGATAATTATTGTTAGAGTTTTAAAAAAAGAACATTTGCTTATTTGATGTTTTATTACTGTGATACTGCAGTAGTGCAGTGACTGGCACCCTTTCTTCACCAGTGCAGTGGTCCTGGGATTACATCTAATTTTGTGTGTTAATTATTTAAAGTGCCCAGTTTCTCTAGTGTTGGCCCAGCATCTAGAAAATAACACCATAATCTTTTAAGATGGCAGCATTGTATTGGTTATGTTTAATATTTAAAGTTAGTTTCGTATCCTTTACATGACGTTGTAAATATTTTTTTAAAAATCTGCTTATATTCAAATATTAGCAACAGAGGCCGTCAATACTGGCACCTAGGTAGCACGTATCACAGCTCCCATCCGATAATTGTTCGAAACCTAACGCTGAAAGGCAACACAGGAGTAGAGAAGTTGTTGTTGTTGTTGTTGTTGTTGTTATCGATCCAGCGGCGCATGAGCTTTCGCCCTTTGGCCCAATGCCATGTAGTGAAATTTGCATGTTTTCACAAGCTGTTTTTTTCCTCCGTACAAGGTGTTCCACTTGTCTGGCCTCGGAGGGAGTAGCGTTCTTCTTGTCTCACTGAGTTTTGGGCACTCAGAGAGATGGAGTTTCGTAGGGGTAGTTACATAGCTGGCACTCTGGGGAGTGTTGTGGCTGTATTCTGTTTAGGTGTCCATTGAGTGGAGTATGTTGCGTTCTAAGTCTGAAGATGGTGGCCTGGTCCCTTCTTGTTAGATGGTTAATGCTGTCATTAGGATCAGGGCCAGACATATGTCTATAAACCTCTCATCCAGTGTCCCCCATGGCCCATCTGTTCAACCAAGTCTCTCTTTTTATAGCTCTTAACAGTGTTTTTGCTGTCTGGAGGGTTGTCGCTGTAGGTGGTTGTTCTTGTGTTGCACCTTTCTTTGCCAATCTGTCAGCTCTCCAGAGCTTGAATGGCAGACATTGAATCTGTGAAGATGACAATATTTTGGACCTTTGAAGGGTAAACATCCATTACAGTCTTTAGGTGGTATACTGCTGTTTCCAGTGCAGTTATTTCAGCTTCATAGTTTGAACAGAATTCCCCGCATGCATCAAAAATCTCTTCAACAGATCCTAGATATAAGCCCCTCAGAGTTTCCTTGTCTGATCCCCATGATGTAGAGAAGAAGTTGTATTACCCGACTCTTCGCCATTTTGTTTTCTTACGCTCCTGCTTCACAGTGTTAATATGTTTTTTCTCCTTCAGACTTTAATAGTTATTAGTTGAAGTATCGATGTCTTAGGACACGTTGACACATCCTCTGATACAGTAGCCTCTGCAGTGTACTTCTGCTGATTGTTCCCACGAGAAGTTGTAGTACTCTTGACGTCAAAGAGGGCAGAGACGTGCTTCACCAAGCTTAACTATTATACTGACCACATGTCGTAGTGCAGCGGCTAGACACTCGTCTGTGGATCGGAAAGGGATGGCTTCAGTTCGAGCCTCACTTTTTGTTTCTCTAAAATTGACCTTGACTCCCATTTCGATCCAGACTTAAATGAGCACTAAGTAAAGTCCGGAGAAGTAAAGGCGACCGGCGTGATGCTGACCACATCACCCAACAAGTGCCGATCGGTCTATAAAATATGTCTAACCCTATATGCCCAATACGCATGAACGCGTGGAAAAAGATCCTTTATTTTACTTTTTACATTGACCACATGATCTTGAAAAAGGTTATAATGCAGCGAACTATTAAACTAAGGGCAGGCTCGGTGCGAAGACAATGGCTTGAATCATTACAGAAGGCCACTTTGCGTGGAGTCACCTTTATTTTTGTTCCGGGATATGCAGGCGTCGATAGAACTGAAAGAGCTATAGGTTGGCTGGATCCGCTATCACTACCGACGGTCAGCCTATGGATCATGCTGATATTATTAATGCCCTCAGATAAATTGAAAGAATATAGGACTTTGGGGGCAATGAATCCACATCACTCGCCAGAATGGCAGACTTAGGATCGGCATAGCAAAAAACGAGACGCACACCAGTCACACTAGAAGACTTGTTAATCAACATAGAACTGGCACTATTAGCCATCGGACGTTGGGGTTCATACTGAGGGGAGGATCTGATCACATGTGGACATGTCTGGAGTGCAATGATGGTAACCCAACTAACTAACTAACTAACTAACTAACTAACTAACTAACTAACTAACTAACTAACTAACTAACTAACTAACTAACTAACTAACTACTAACTAACTAACTAACTATTCAATCATGCACGATCGCATTGAAATAATTAGTACAGTGAGACCTTTCTTTTAATTAGGCATATTGGTCACATTTTCATTGCCGTCTTAACATGTTGGCCTATTGGGCTCTTGTCTGGGGGTCCCATGAGCATAAAACCCCTTGCTCGTCTGTGTATGTCATGTCATCAATTGCATTGCATTCCTGTGAGTGGTTGTCATTAGGGCCTCAGCCCACTGGCTTGCCCAGGGGCCCATAATGATGTTACGACAGCTTTGCATATAGTGCTGAACTTATATTTTTATAGATCTGTGGGCACTCTGTGTGTGATGTGTTCAGAATCACGCCTGGTCGCCTTTATTTCTCATGACATTACCCAGTACCTTCTTCCGCGTTCGCCCTTAAAGGGACGTTGACACACTGTGTTGTGGTTTACAGCTAGAGTGTGATAAGGGCGCCTGTCGGCCTAACATCCGATTTCGGCCAGACGGTAATTAGTGACTATTACGACAGGCTTGGTAATCAGCAGTGTGTATGCTCTCCTCTCTTTACACCCTCAAAACATAGGATCCCCGACCCAAACAGGTTTGAGGTTTGAATAATGGATCAACATCATGGCACACGGGTGTAACCCATAAGTGCTCCGTTCTTCTTCTAACTCAAGTCTGAGTTCTAAGAAGCTTAGCACAGTGCACAGGCTTTGTAGCGCTGGCAAGGATCCTGAAATACTTTGGGTAGATTTTTAACTTCACGTTTTGCCCGGGCAGCGCAGTTAGGCTACACTTGTCGATTTCCAGCTGTCAAGTGATTTTTTTTTACGTGCGCAACAATACACACGGGCTTCCGATCTCACTACCCAGAGAATTGGGGAATTACTAGAAGTCCAACTCCACCTGAAAAAAATGTCAGCTCTTAATGAACACGGAACCTCTAGCACCCGAGGCGAACACTATGCCTCGAAACCACCCAGCACCCCCCCCCCCCGACCCAAACAAGTAAAGTTAGTACCAATCGTTGGCCTTGCCGATCTAACAGCCAAGATCAGAAAGGTCCTGCGAGGAGTGATCGGAAGATCTGACGGGCGCCTAGAACATTCAGGGAAAAGGCTTATGAGGATGACCTGTACACAACTTGCCGACAGGCAAGCGTAAAGCTGCGATAACCGTGCTTCCCACACAAAGCGGATTATTACTCAGTAAATAATAGGTATGTCAAACAACCAAGATAGACCCATTAACTCACCTGTAATTGACAATCGTATGTTCTAATTGTCTGGTGTTTGTCAGGGGTATACTTTTATGGTCAAAGAAGAACATAAAAATATATGGTAGTCGTTTGTACAGTAGGCGAAAATGTCTGCTACCAATACTTTTTAATGGCTACGAAAACTGTGGCCTTTATGGTTGTGTTTCTTGGTTATATGGAATACGGGGTGGCTGCACGTTGAGAACCCCTTCCCCTAAGTCCCCCCCCCCCCCCCGCTTATCCCTCCCCCCCCCCCCCAACCATGTATAGAAGCTTTCCTTTTTAAGTGTTTGTTTGCACATTGCATATTTTTCAATTACATTGTTATATTTATTTGCCATTTAGAAAATAGTGATAAAAATTATAATCTTTTTCTTCTTCTTCTTTCTTCTTCTTCTTCTTCTTCTTCTTCTTCTTCTTCTTCTTCTTCTTCTTCTTCTTCTTCTTCTTCTTCTTCTTCTTCTTCTTCTTCTTCTTCTTCTTCTTCTTCTTCTTCTTCTTCTTCTTCTTCTTCTTCTTCTTCTTTTCTTCTTTCTTCTTCTTCTTCTTCTTCTTCTTCTTCTTCTTCTTCTTCTTCTTCTTCTTCTTCTTCTTCTTCTTCTTCTTCTTCTTCTTCTTCTTCTTCTTCTTCTTCTTCTTCTTCTTCTTCTTCTTCTTCTTCTTCTTCTTCTTCTTCTTCTTCTTCTTCTTCTTCTTCTTCTTCTTCTTCTTCTTCTTCTTCTTCTTCTTCTTCTTTTTCTTCTGTCTTTGTCCTAGTGCTCATGCAGTAAATCATCGCAGAGAGGGGTTAAATGTAGCCACCTGTCTTTTTTTTTTTTTTTTGCGTAGCGTGTGTCAGTATAATATTGCGCACTTTAAATTTTTCTGTTTTGTACATTTGATTTGAAATGTTTAAATAATACAGTTTCTCTGATATTGCAAACATATTCTTCATTATTTCTAATACTATAAATTATTACACAATATCCGTCTATTATCCATACAATGAAACAGTGTGATTATTTTAAAGTTTTCTGAGATTAGCTGGTGTAATTTATAACGGTAGGCCCTTCAGGGTTTTAAATAGCTTAGGATCTTATCAAGTCTAAAAATCAACCCTTCCTTGCGTCAGGTTCCTGGCTATGGTCAATGTCGTTTTGGTAGCGGTGGTGGTGGTAGTGCTAGTGATGGTGGTGGTGGTAGTGATGGTTGTGGTGATGGTGGTGGTAGCGGTGGTGGTGGTGGTGGTGGTAGTGGTGATGGCGGTAGTAATGGTTGTGGTGGTCATGATGATAAGGAGGATATTGCTCTCAAAATGTATGACATATTTGTCTATGCCTCGTCATGTAATACGTCTTCCTCTGGTGGGTTCCGGGGCCTCATTGTTTGGTAAACACAGAATAGATCCACAAGCATGTCGTAAGATTTGAATAATTATAGGTTTCCTTCAGTCGGAGTGCATCTGTCTTCTTCTTCTTTTTCTCTTCCACCTTGTACCTCACCGAAGTGTTTGGGGGGGGGGGGGGGGGGGGGATGTAATGTTCGTTGATGAGCTCTGTCAAAAGCACTATTAAGACTGATGTTCATTTCTGTAAGGCTGTTCTTAATGCCATCACTCCATATTTTCCTAGGTCCTCCGCTCGCTCTATACCCGTTGTAACGTTTTAGTGTGGCTCGTTGTGGCAGATAGTACCAGGGCATTCTTGTTAGGTGTCCAAACCTCTTCATTTGTTGTTCTTTGATGACCTGTAAGACTGGCTTTATTCCTAGCATTCGTCTGATTTCATGATTTCGTATTCTGTCTTTCCTTGAAACTCCTGCAGCTCTTCTAAGGCATTTCATCTCTGTTGTCACAATTTTACGTTCATTGGAGGATGTAAGTGTCCACGTTTGGCATTGATAGCATAGTGTTGGCCAAAAAATAGTTCTGATTAGATTCACATTAGTACTCCGAGGTATCTGCTTGTGTGTCAACAGGGGAGATAGTTGACTCATTACTTGATTAGCTTTAGCACATCTGGAGCTAATTTCTCTGTCCAGTTTTCCATCAGATGTAAAAATTGCTCCCAAATACTTAAATTCCTCTGTTTGTCTCTGGGTACTGTTTTTTAAATTTAATTTCTAAATTGTCTTTATGTCTTCCTATCATCATTGTCTCTGTCTTCGCAGTGTTTATTTTCATATTATATTCCTCCCCTTTGTTACTAATTTGATTTAGGTGGTTCTGGCATCTGCCTTAGAGGTGAGAAACCAGGAGCCTGGACTCGAGTAAGCCTGAACTGTAACATGGATATGAATGCAATACTCAAGTTTTGAAACACGACTAAAATCCAAAAGTGGACAAACAACCAGAGCTTTCCGTCTGAGTTTACAGCCGGTGTGCGCAAAGAAAAATACAATTTAACTCTTTCAGTACCAAGGAGCTCACCATGCGTTTATTGGTTACACTATATAGGGTACACATTTCTTTACTTTCCCTTTCCCGGTCTTGCCATATGTTAACCCTTTATTTTACAGTTTTTATTATAACATCTTCTCTGCCTAAAGCTGTATAATTCAGCTCTACAAGACAAGCAATTGTTGCTCTAGGATACAAAACCTTCACCACAGACAATGTGGAATTCAACACTATCAGGGACCAAAAGATTTAATACGTCTCAGAATGCAAGGCAGTTCAATTACCCATCCATGTTTTTGTACTCCTCAGAGCCTCAGAGTGGAGGAAGACTGCAGCCCAAGTACAGCTGTTTCAGCACTTTGTCATCCTGTTTCTGGCAGTCAATGGTTACCGACATCGCAACTTCTGTGCTTACTGCGTTGGCTATGCAACCAGCCTGCTTGTGTTATGTTTAAATTTTTATTTTCATGAGTTTTTCAAGCGACCACCTCCCAGAATAGATTTACGAAGGAGACAATAAGAAGCTGAAATCAAATTTAGGAGCTTATATATTTAATTGTATTTCAATATGAAATGCGTATTTAGAATACTGAGTGCGTTTACGGGTTCATAAATATGGTTTATGAAATTTATTTTTGTGTACTGTATCAGGTACAATAATTGGATAGACACACACGCACGCGCTTGTGTGTCTATGTGTATGTGTGTGTGTGAGGGTTGGGGGGGGGGGGGTGTCAGACGCGCCATGGAGGGGGTCTTAGCTTCTTATAGGTTTCTAGGTGTGGGGTTCAAGAGGCATAAGTTTTGAATATGTGCGCAATAGTAAAAATAGTTATTATTGTGTGCGGGCGCGCTTGTGTATGTGTGAGAGAGGGTGTGTATGTGTCTATGTGCGTGCGTGCGTGTGTGTAGTTCAGGAGCGCCATCTTCTTCTTCTTCTTCTTCACTTCCTCTTTTACCGCTGTGGGTGTCGAGGGAGATATAAGGTTCTGTTTCTAGCTCTTCTGGCTGCCTCGACCATAGGCACATCGTACTGTTGTAGAGTTTCTCTGATGTTATCCTTCCATCTTGTTCTTGGTCTACCCCGTGCTCTACGTCCTTCTTCTCTTCCCATGTACGCTTTGTATGGTATGGTGTCACAAGGCATTCTCTCTAAGTGGGCAAACCATTTCACTTGCTAGGAGCGCCATCACCAAGATATATTGGGGGGAGTGGGAGAGCTCAGCCCCTCACTGTTTTCTAGGAGTAAGATTCAAGGGAAATAAGTCTTGTATATGTGAGCAATAATAATATTAACTATAATGTGCTGAATGGCAAATTAAAGTGTAATAATATATTTCAAATTTTTAGCTTTCTCTGGTCATGCACTTAATCCACTGGAGGGGGGCTATAAACTGGGATATCATCTCAAGGTCCCTTAGGTTTCCCCAAAGCTTAGTTGTCAGATCGACTGGGCATTACCACATGTCTTTAAATAAGCCGCTTTCAGAATGGCCGCGCTAGTTATCCTGATTATTTCAAGGCCAGAAGATCAAGTATTGCAACAGGTTTCATTCATTAAAACAAACCATTTACCAGTTCAAACACTTGGCGACAACGTGTTTTACTGCTGGGTGTTGCAGGAAAGTTGATGTGTTTGTTAGATACTGTGTAATATTATTGTTCGGTGTTTCTGCCACCCGTATACGTCATCTGCCTTAGTGTCCTTAGCAACGATGACAAACTATATACGAATTTGACCACCATGTTTCTTTTGCACCAGAATACACAAGGGTCAGAGAGATCCAGGTCTGTAGATGTCCAATCTGTCGCTCAATGGAGCACACCCGCTGTTCTCCCTTGAGACTCCTTCAGGGATTCATCTGCCTCTTCCCTATCAAACAGGCACTAATACTAGGGTAGCCGTTTACTTCCTGCATTAAAATAATATTTTCTATGGATTCTGTACTTAATACTCAAAATAAAAATAATCATCGCCGGAGCTACGGAGTGCATGCTCTGTGCTTTATATTATCTTCGGGTGGCGGTGGAGAGAGTGGGAAGAGGAGAAGACGGGGGAATGGAGAGATTAAAAGGCATAGAAATAGGAGCGCGGGAGCCCGGAGAATCAGACGATAAATGGAGCGTTTGGGATTAGAGCGTAGTAGACTGGGTGCCTGTACTAGAGAGGCTGATTTATGACTTTGATATCATCATGCTTCAAGAATTAAATATAGACATATACGAGTGTCCTGAATATATTAGTTATATAAATCCTACTGGACAGAAAAGACACGTATAATGTCTACTGGTTAAGAATGGGGTAAAACTTGTGGTTCTTGACCTGGGCAAGTGGAATCATAGTACACTAGAGGTTCAGGGCATACAGATAGATAATGGGAGAACAATCTGGAATTTAATAAATGTTTACGCTAGATTATTTTACAGTTTTCCCTTGAACCATAACCGGGAAAACCCATGCAATTTGTAAGTGTCCAACGACGGATCCGTCAGTTTAGATAACTGCACCTACGTTTAATTTCCAAACATGTCTGCCTTAGCCGCCAACGGGCCTTGTTGTCTGCAGTCTCTACCTAGTTTTATGCAGCCTGAAAAGAATGTACCCCACTCTGCTAGCACTTTTTCCCATTCCTCGTAGGTTCTATGTCCTCCGTTGAACCAACTTGTTGAATAATGTCCTCAGTTGAACCAACTTGTTGAATAATGTCCTCAGTTGAACCAACTTGTTGAATAATGTCCTCAGTTGAACCAACTTGTTGAATAATGTCCTCAGTTGAACCAACTTGTTGAATAATGTCCTCAGTTGAACCAACTTGTTGAATAATGTCCTCAGTTGAACCAACTTGTTGAATAATGTCCTCAGTTGAACCAACTTGTTGAATAATGTCCTTAGCCTGACCCACACTGGATTTTTCACTTTTTAACCTGCTACCCTTCTTCCTGCCAATCTCACTGTGCAATGGATGATGTGTATCAGTACTGATACGCAGATACCAACATGCTCGGCAGATCACTGTTTTCATTTCCATGGTTGAAAGATCAAAGAGCTAATGCATCGCTCTACATACTGTGTTTTATGTGCGCATCCAAGTACGAAGCGCATGGCCTCATTCTGTAGCCGATCTAGTCTCTCTGTCTGTCTATGGCTTAAAGTCAGAATCGCCAGGGCGTACTCAGTTACTTAAAGGAACAGACCCTGGTATAGGAGCAATAGGTGACGTTGCTCACATTTTGTCGCAGCCCATAATCCTTAGCGCCGTCAAACTTCCCTTTGCCTTCATTATCACGTGGTTGACAAGCTCATAAACGAAAAACACCAGGTGATAAACTGTGCACGGTATTGATTGTATTCAAATTGTTTGTATACTTTTACATTCAAGCATCTTTACAGTTTTTATTGTTTGAAGAAAACAATTTATTTTGCATCGAAAATTGTTACAATGATTATTGCTAACTCATTTTGTGAGCTGTCTTATAAAATGCAGTAAATATAAAAAATATATGCATACATTTTTATTGTTGCTTACCTGACATGCAGTGAACTATTTGGTATTTTAACTTACTAGAAACATAACATTTTGAGAAACTTTTGTGTGTGTGTGATTTCGCACTTAAATCGGTGGTTAGGACGTTGTTTTGCTGTTTTTCAGCTAGGTTTTTAAGCTTCGGCGAAACACATTAGTTAGTTGGTCTTTTCTCTTGAACCTATTCTGAATCAAACAATTGAATATAATCATCACATTCAACAATTATTTTCCTGAACACAAAACTAGCACGCTTCACAGATTAGAATACATTAACAATCAACAACGTGTTGGAACAGATCATGTGCTAATCACTCAAACCAACAAAGATGAGAGTTCGCCTTCTCTTAAAGGCGATACTATCCTAACCATCTGCACGTGGAAATCTAGATGTAACAAAAATTTACCCACGGAACACACCGCCAAAACACGAAACCAGTGAGCGAATCCATCTCTCGACTCGGTCCCGCTGAATCTATGTTGCGCTAAAAACCCTGTACGATCCCTCAATGAAATGTTGCTAGTATCATTCCCGAGGAACAAAAAGCCAAAGAGCGTTTTCCGAGTGAGATTTAACTCCACCAGGACACCAACCAAGCGATAAACACCCGGTGACACAAAATGTTACCATGTGGATGCAGATCACCCTGGGAGAGGTCTCAGAAACCCCATTCAACTGTTATGTTATATTTGTGCATCCGGCTTTTAAAATAACAAAAATTGCGTACAACATTGAGACGACGGTGTGTAAGAGCGTTTTCTCAAGTTCTATGTTTTTTGCCATGTGACTCGCTGGGCACTTCCAGAGAATTCCAATCTTCAAACCTACCAGTTTGAGTATAGTCAACTCAATATTATTAACAGGCTAACAACCCATCCTACCAACCTGTTACAGAGATTTAAATAGATTATGAATTTCGGTTTTGCTTCTCACTGTCCACTCCCCGCTATTTGCATCTTTGATGCCAAAGATTCGCCGTAAGACGAAAAAAGCACTAATAATACCAAAAAACAATAACTGCTATTATTTATGTGCTATGAAAATAAGAAGCAACAATCTGGAGAGTTCCTGCAGCTATTTTTAATTTTGAGACAAAGGATTTGTTTAATGATTGTTATATAATGAGTTTCAATGTTATTTAATGTCAAATGTTATATACTCACCTTGCTATATGCAATATGCCTGCAACAGTGCGCAACTTTTGTTGTTTTATATGTTTCAACACCATATTTGCAATTATTTTGATACTGTTGTATTTTGAAAGCAAATTTAATCATTTATTAATCATTCTAAACATGTATTGCTGTTTTTTTCCCAAGGAAAAAAATATGCGTGTATTAAAAATTATCTGTGAATTCAGGGTTTTCTCGCATTTTATTTGAAGTAGATATTCTGTGAATCCCTTTACCTCTGTGTTTTTTTTTTTTTTTCCTTGCTATCTTGACGAGTTATCCTTAAAAATTATCTTACCTGTGGTCTAGAAACGTCCCGTCGCCTACATGGTGATCTAAAACCCCAATCTTCTGCACTCCATGGGATATACGAGGTTCTAGTAACAATTGCCTGGGTCTGGAAGCACGCTTTTTGAAGTGATATTTTTTCTTCTGTTTTTGTTTCTGTTTTAATGGTTAGTCTCGAGGCATGGTGTCGAGTGCTGGAGGTCCCGGGTCAGGCCCCGATGAAGGCTGGGATTGTTTCACGTGGAGTTCTGGTTGATCGTCCACTTCTGGATTGCAGTCCTGTTCCAGAACCTGATTGTTGCGTGTGCATCCGTTTTACAGATCTGACTCATTGGCATGCTGAATACTGGTTCCTTGCCTCTCAGGCAGATGCACTCCGACTTCGAAGGAAGCTCCCAATTAGTCGACGCTTACGACATGCTTTTGGGTAGGCAGTGGGTCTATTCTTGTTTTCCCTAAAATAGGACCCCGGAACTCACACGGGTATCTCTGGATAGTGAGATCGGACGTCGGTGTGTATTGTTGCGCACGTAAA